TTTTTAAATGTATTAATCTCTTTTTGAGTTAACTAACCCGTTAATTGTATTTGTAGAACACCACAGAACGCGAGCGCAATAATTACATATTTTAACATATTCGAACACTTTCTTTACTTTCTCCTTGCACTTCTAAAATATATCACTTCAGATTTTAAATCAATTTGTATTAATTTTGCAGACGTCTATGTCCTCTGCCAGTCAAATCCGTTCTGTCCTCCACGAAAGTTGGAAATGAAATTTTATGAAATTCTTTGGCGGATATTTGTTTGTTTTCAGGGAAATTCCAGGCGATTTTATATCTAAGCACGTTTATGAATGCATACATTATATATACGTAGCTTAATCTAATCATAACAGTACAGTTTTTTACCGTTACGATTCGTATTTTTCAGATATGTATATAAATATTTCCTGTATCTCCATTAGTTCACTATTAATGCGTACATTTCGAAGTATGGTATTGTGATAATCTGAAGGGGATAAGGGGGGCGTTAAGCCCCTATATTACAAAAATGTTATTATATTGGTTGAAAGTTTGGCGAAACTCACGAAGAATCTCTGGTGTATGCGACGGTACATGAACGCGGTGCAAAAACCAAGAGTTGTCGGCCCATAATCTCAGCCTCTTTTTACGAATAGCTTCGAGCAAACCACACATAGCAGTCAAATAGTATTCCTTCTTTAAGTCGAGAGCATAGATCCAAGTCTCCTCGCCAGTAATAAAAGATTTTATGACATCATAATAGTCGGAAAGTAGTGTTTCACAGACGTGACGCTGTTTTTCGAAAAAATTTAGTGATTTTGGAACCAATCGTTCTTTCACTTTCTAAGACTCAAATGATATTTCAAAATGGTTTTCACTAATCCAAACGATATTTCAACGATGCCAATAAGATCTCTGACTGTCATTCGTCGATTCTCAAGCGCCAATTCCTTTATTTATTGACATGTTGATCGTCAGTTGATGGCCGTCGTGGACGTGGTTCGTCTGAATCCAATTTTGCCCACACTTGTTATAAGTCTCGACTGTGATGGAATTCAGTGTCATCACCTAAGTTTAGTTGCGGTTTCGTTTCATATTTGGAGCGCCATTCGATAGTTTTTCGGACAATTTCATTTTCATACTCATTCGACGTGGTATCGTCTCGTCATCAGTGGAAAAGTTTCAGTTCTTTTCAGACCTCGCTGAATTCGTAGCATTGATACATTCCATACCCAAAATATGAAGCAAAATGTGTTGAGTCGATCCATAAGAGATGTTGAGTCTCCCTGCCATTTCTCTGAAGTTAACGCTTAAAAAGAATTTCGACTATAACCAACATATCCAGAAATAATAAACACCAACACCAACTCCCCTCGACGTTTGCTTTTGACACGCCCATGCTAATTAACAGCGAGATATACTTTATAACCTCTGAAGTACTTGATACCAAAATAAATTAATTTCATTTCAAATGTGATTAGAAAGAAACCTTTTATCGGCGAAGCTTATTTTTAAATATAATTAAGTTTTAATAACATTATTTACAATTACCTAATATTATAAACGACACATTGATTTTTACTTCACAATCGGTTAAGTATTTACAATTATTAACTCGGTACATTGTAAAGTTGTCATTGTTAAATAAACTACCTCGCTTCTATAGGAGCCATGAACAAGAAACTGGAGAGTAACCGTTTTAAAAGTTGCTGAGTTTTTGCAAAAAATCATCTTCAACGGAAGAGTGAACAAAATTAATTTCAAAAACAAACACTGTTCATTGAAATTACACGTCCTTGAAGTAGGGGAGAAAAAAAGTCTTGTTCTTGTCGCCGAGATTTCTACCCTTGTGGTCAGCTGGAAAACACTGGGGGGAGATGGTGCGCCTTCTTAATTTAGCTCGCCTTCAAACGGATGTTTTTTGACCACCCATAAGATACTTGATCTAAGAGCGAAAGTCGTGAGCTGTTTGAGCCATATGTAAAAGAATCATTTCTGAATACTCCCCAGTGAATGGCGCTAAGAGAACTTTCCTCATTCCTTCAACACATGACTTCATCTTCAGTTACTTGAAAGGTGCCACTGCCCAGCTGCTTGATGTCTTCGTAGAAGTAAAGACTGACATCGCCGCCGTCGAAGAAGTGCAATAGACAGCCCAAGGACTGAGTCGACTAGTGCCATGTGGCATATTCTACAGTGGCCATATAAAGGAGCACAAATTCGGTGTGGGATTCGTGGTGCCAAGTCTTGGCATTCACCCCGGTGTATGAACGTCTAGCCACAACCCGCATCAAATCGAAGTTCTTCGACATATCGCTGATTTGCGCCCTCATTCCAAAGGAACAGAAGGAAAATGCCTTTTATATAAGTATGTATTAATTAATTTTGAAATGTATGAATAATGAAGTGGCAACTCCTCTTCAAAAATATAAAGTAACACTTAAAATTCTCCAGTCTAGTAAAAGTATGATAAGCCATATATAATAACAAATTTATATATAAATATGTATAAATTAATTTTAAAATAAGTGGCAACCTCTTGACAAAAATATATTTTTAATGGCAATTTAGCTGAAATCACTTTTATCACAGTAATTACTTGATGATGCTTTTTCTCCTTACAACTTTTTACTTTAAAATTTTAAACAGGTGGCAACCACTTAACTTTTTTTTTTTAAATTAAACCAACTATTCAACAAATAATAAAAATGCTAACGCAGCTTGGCACCAATTTTCAACAACATCAAGTTTAGTGAAGGCCTGGCACCTAAACCCCATACTTACCTAGTTAATTTTCAGTGGTTAAACTACCGTTAAATGAGCAAAACTATTGTAATTGTGCAATTTAAGCGAAAGCATAAATATATATTTCTATGGACTAGCTCTTTACTTGAAAGGTGATAAGGCTGGTCAAAATAACTGCGATGCTCTATTATAAATATATATATGTATATATGTATAAGCGTGTGTGTGCATATGTGCCTTTGTGGCTGTGTTATGACAACGTCTGACGCTAACTTCATTATCTTGGCAATTTGAATGAGAAATCAAACGAAAAAATGTATACAAGAGTAAACAATGGTACAACAATTGCAAAAAATACATACATAAATACGAACGGCTTACACATACACACACACACACACACACACACAAAATAAAATATAAATTCGTATATCTTAAACGCTTAGCAAATCCGCATGAGTAGCGAGCAGAGGGCAAAAATAAGTGCGTGTGCGCAACTCATCATGCTGACGCCGCTATTATTAACAGTCCCATTGTAAGAAGCGCTGTCGTTAGTACCGCCGTTCGCGCCATTACCCAAACCATCATCGCTCAAGCCACCAGCATCCTCGTAAGCCTTCGTCACATTGTTTATCCACGGCACATAGCTGGCCACGTCCGTGTAGACGCCCGGAAAGCCCGGCTGCGCGCAGCCTACACCAAACGACACTACGCCCGCCAGCTGCTCGCCACACACCAACGGACCGCCGGAGTCGCCAACGCAAGCATCACGTCCACCCTCCATATAGCCGGCGCAAATCATGCCATCGTGCACCAGTGCGCCATAATTGGTAGCGCATTGAGACCGGTTCACAATGGCCACATCGACCACCATCAGCTGCGGTGAGTAACCGCCCTGCGGGGATATACAATTATATCGTTACAATTACAAAAACAATCGAAATTCGTTCGAGCAACAAACATTTTCGGTGCGTCCCCAGCCGGATACATGGCAGACGGTGTTGCTGGCGTTCAAATTTAGGTCGCCATTTAACGGTATTGCACGTGCACGTGTAAAGTTCGCCGGCACACGCGCATTCAAATGCAACACTGCCACGTCATTCCTGTAGCTCGTCGCGTTATAGTCGCGATGCACCGAGATCTGCGACACGCCAAGCACCAAGGTATTGTTATCGCGCTGATAACGATTCAAATTTCCCACAACCACCGATAAATCGCTGGCATTCCGAAAACGATTACTGGCGGGCCTGAAAATTGTTAATCACCATTTCAATCGTTATAAACTTTCCGGGTCAACATTTTTCCACTCACATCCATATGCAATGCGCTGCAGTGAGCACGGTGCGCCGTGAGATGAGCGCACCGCCGCAGATGTGTCCAGCACCGAAGAGCCATTCGCCCGCAGTCAGACGCAACGAAACCTGATACCTCGTACCGTCCCACAGCGCCTCGGTGCCGTTGATTATCTTCGCCTCACTGCTGTGTTGGCTCTCGAGTGGGGATTTCAAGTGCGCCAGCGCTAAGATTAGTTAGGAAAGAAGTGTAGAATTGTTTTTTTAGCGAAATTTATTCAACAACAACAACATACTGGTGCTCTGCGCTACTTGAAATGCCAAGCAAGTGTAAATTGAGTAACAGAAAAACCCTTGAAAATCCATATTTTGCACTGTTTTGCTGATTTACTTTATCTTTTTTAGTACAATAAATTTGTCGTACGTGGTCTTAGTAGACTTGGTAGACTAGTTAGGCGTCAATTTCACGAAACCCCAACAACTACTGTTGGTTTTATGGTCGTGCTGAGCGTATATCTAATGTAATGAAAGTGCCAACTCTTACATACCCACGCCCACATACAGGTAGACGTGCAAAGTAAACACTTGTTTCCAATTTTATCAAATCTCTCAGACCCTTGACTATAATGAGGCAATGATAAAAATATTGAATTCAGTTAATGATTAGATAAAAATTCAAATCAATTCATTGACCAACTTGTTGTTCTTCTGTTGTTACATAAAAGGGTGGGTCGTTAAGGAATAGGGAATGGACATCCGGAAGCGGGCAAAGACCGCAAACTTTGGAGAATAAGAAAAGTGCATTATCGATCGGTTCGTTTCTTGTTTTCGGAGGGGAAATCGAATGGATCTTGGAGGCAATATACGTTCCGTTGCCACGGAGGTTAACTTGACAAAAGTTCTCGATCTTATTGGCAGACTCCGAGATAAGCGAGATAGCTAAGACAGTAGGATTTCAAAAAAATGTCTCATCCTAAACGAAATAGTGAGTATAAGTAAGCTGTCAGAACGATGGGTTTCGCGTCTGCTCATTCCGGACAACAAGTGTAACGATGAGACCACTGCAAAGCGACAATCTTAACAAGTTTCGAGTTATCCGTGTTTCGTCGACGGTCACAAAGTCAATGAAACATGGATGGACGAATACATTTAGAAGACCAAAGAATAGTGGAAACAGTAGACTTTGCCTGAAGAACCTGTTCCGAAAAGTGTGAATACTGTACTATCAACCAGATTGAGTTCCGCGCAACACAATTCAAACAACTTTCGAGGTCATTTTGGGGCTATCGACAAAACATGAATCGACTGATGCTTACAAAAAGCCAAGGGATAGAGGCAACAATAAAATTTTGCCTGACGAACCTAATATGAAAAAGGTGAATACGGTACTATCAAGCAGAAATTTGATGATTACCGTTTTCTGCGATGTAAAGTAGCGACATACGAGCTCTACTAAGCGGAATTACTGAATAGAATCGATATGGAATGAACCCGTTGGCAAAAAAGTTCACTTGCTTCATGACAATGCTACGGCTCACACTTCCCTAAGACCACTGTCGCATTGGTCATTCTTCCGCCTCATTCACCGTATTCTCCAGATTTGACTCATGCCACTTCCATTGGTTTCCAAACTTGAAAAAGTCATTAGCCGGTCAGAAATTCCGGGCGAATAAGAAAGCTATCGCCGTCATGGAGACTTGTAGCCCTAGTATATATCGAACCGCCCTCGTAAATGCATGCCTCACGTGATAAAATTCGATGACAAAAAATATTTGCACCGCTTGTGGTCGAAAAATCTCAGTAAATTTTGTTATCAATATTTAATTTGTGCGTGTGTGTTTGAGTTGGATAAATAACAGGTTTGTCAGTAAGAGCGCTACAAAGTTTTTTTGCTGGCTTGTTAGCATAGACCATGGACTTGACGTAGCCCCACAAGAAATATTTAATCTAAGCGCCTCAAATGGCACGACCGAGGCGACCAATTGGCTTTGCCATTTCTTGAGGTAACACGTTCACCAAACTTTTTTTTTTTCAATAAATCGATTGTGATATTCGCTGTGTGTCTTGCGGCACCCTTCTGTTGGAACCATATATTGTCCAAGTCCATATTATCCAATTCGGACCAAAAATATTCGGTTATCATTAAGCGGTAGCGATTCCCATTCGCAGTAACCTGCCGGTCTTGATCATCACGAAAGAAGTACGGCCTGATGACACCGCCGGCCTATAAACCGCACCAAACCGTAATTTTTTCGGGATGCACGGAGTACATGTGGATTGCTGCCTTACCCATAACGCATATTTTGCTTATTGACAGAGCCATTCAGCCAGAAAGCCTCATCGCTGAAGATGATTTTTCGATGGAAATCCCGATCATATACAAGTTATTGCTCAGCCCGGTTCGCGAAGATACGACTCTTCTGGTGGTCAAGTGGCTTCAGTTCTTGCGTCAGATTGATCTTATAAGGATGTAAGCCAAGATCTTTTCGCAAAATTTGCCACTTCGACACCACAAAGATGCCGAACGCTTGAGAACGACCTGTAAGAGACTAATTTGGGTCTTCCTCAATTAAAGCAATAGCGGCAGAAATATTCTCGACACTCCGGGCACTTTGTGTCGCTGGCACGAGAACATTTTGTACTGTGTCTGTGGACTAAAATTTTTTTCACTAGAAGCTCAATTGTTGTTCTGACAACAAATTGAACGTAGCGCTTTTAAAGTTGAAGCCACTGACTCCGAAAAAGTGTGGCCCACGCTGTCCCTATCGGTTTACTTTTATGGGGTTCCTATTGAAAACCCTTTATATATACATTATTAACATGAATCTATCAAGCATTTGATTCGACTTCTATGCGACAAATTGCTAATTATTATTATTAAAGAGATTAACAGTAAATTATTGTGACACGACAAAATCTTTTTGATTTCATTTACTGTCAACATTTGCATGCTATTGGGTGGAAACTGAATGATTATTTCTTATACAAGTTGCGTTCCAAAGTAAACAGGACTTTTTCAATCTAGCGCCCCTGGTGGCGCCATGTATATGTCGCGTTGCTATCTTTATCGATTGTCCAGTGAGAATTTCATGACATTTCATTGTTTCGAAGTGAAGTTATTGCGTTTCAAGTGTCAGTATGTTTGTGTTATCGGTGCGAAAATGAACTTCGAACAAAGAGCCAACAATAAATTTCTTTCTAAAATTGGTAAAACTTTTACCGAAACGTTTCAATTGATGAAACAAATTTATCGCGATGATTGCCAATCCCAGAGCAGAGTGGACGAGTGGTTTCAACGTGTTCAAAGTGTTCGTAAGGACATAAATGACGATTAACATGTTGACCAATCAAAATCCGTGATCACCGGAAATTCAATCGAAACTGTGTGTGAATTCATCAAAAATCAGCCGAAATCTTCATTGAAATTCATGGAAATGGAATTGAACATCTCCGAAATATCGATTTATCACATTTTGGCCGAACATTTGGGCTTACGAAAGGTGTGTGCACGGTTTGTTCCGAATCCAACATTCGAAGGACACTTGGGGCCGATTATTTGACCAAAACTCATATTTTAACCATTAACTACTCCCCGTATTCACCTGATGTGGCAGCGTGCGGCTTCTTCCTGCATTTTCCCAAGAATGGAAAAAGCGTTATGCAGACGTAGAGGCCATTCAAAATACTTGCACCGGCGTACTGATGGCCATACCGGCCAACGAAGAAGACTATTTTGAATAAAATAAATTTTGCTGAAAAAACCATTTGTTCTGTTTTTGTTTTTAAAGTCCCGTTTACTTTGGAAAGCTCCTTGTACAGTACTCACTCGTTTACTGGTACTGAATAAACGCGGTATTACAAAAGTTTTGATACTAAACCACAGAAAAAATTGAAAAATTAGTTTTTATTACAAATTTAACAAATTGTCATAATTCTTCGCGTGAAAACGGGAATGAAGATCCGGAAATTGCTAATTTTGACATTTTTTTTATTTTCGAAAATTTATATTTTAAATCAGATGACAGCTACATAATTCTTATAATAAGTAAGGAAATTGGAAAATACTGAATAGAAATATTATATTTCTTTCACTACACCACAGAATATTGTAAAAATGGTCAAACTCAATTCTTAACCATGCACTCGTCCTATTTTCCGCTATATAGATTTTCAGCAAAAAATTGTCATCTAAAATGCAAAACAATGTATCATCGAAAGGTTCGAAATGTGGTTTCTATTATATCGTTTTTCCTGTGCCTTATGAAAAGTGATGTTATGATATTTTGCATTTTAATTGACGATATGAAAGTACTTTTCAATGTAATTTTACTAAAACTAATCAAATATAACTTCGTCTAAATACAAAGTTTTAAAAGAATCTAAAAATGTATGCTATTGTTTTTTTATATTTCTAAACCTCAATTTTTAACATTATTTATAGTTTAATTAATATTCACATAATTCCAAACTTATTACTTGTGTGTGAGTACACCATGTCGTATGAGCAACATCTGCTGTCATCTCATTTATTTCATATATGCACATATGTATTTGTTTTCTCATATACAATATTATAATATTATATATATATACTCGCTAATATGTGCGAATGGCTGCAAAAATGAAATGACACTCACTTCTTTCGGACAGCACCAAGTCACGTCATATACACAGCAAAATTCATAAGCATCATACCCGATACTTGACGGGTACTTAACATAAAAAACTACTAAATTCAAATTGTTCATTAAATAGACAGAATTCTGAGTATGACAAGCCCCTCTTGATTATTGTTCGAAGCTCTTTATAAAACTCCTCACGATATACACACATACATATTTACATACATACATATATGAACTGGCGCCGACCGTTGTCTGAGTTAGACCACGGCCGATAATTTTTGAAAGCAAAAAAATTATGGTAGGATGAAACTCTCTGCAAAAAGAAGCTAAAACAAAAAAACTACAAAGAAATTTAATTGAAGGGGGATTTAAATTAGGAGCGAAAAAGGAAGAGGTTAAGGGTAAAAACGATTTATCCCGATTTCCAGCAAAACTAAGTGTGAAAGTGCTATGAAAAAAAGTTAAAGCACGAAGTTGTAGGTAATAAAAATATATACTTTTGCATTTACAGCTTTTTAACATAACCATAAGTACTTGAATTTTTATTATTATATTTTTAATTTTTTTTTAAGAAATATTCTGTATTTTTATAATATATATGTATGTATGCATACAAACCTAACCTATTAATACTGATATTATCAGCTATTTCATAAGACCAAATCAATGACTTTTATCATAAGCAAATTCTGTTTGACATTCTTTTTGTTTTATCGCACAACAAAAAATAATTATTTATAATTAATAATGAATGATTTTCTATTCTTACCTGTCCAAAGTCATACATTTCACACATATATATATTTCTTTATTTAATAAAAATATACATTTACATATGTATGTATAACATTTAAATTTCTATATCGGAACACTTTCATAAAACATTAACTGCTTAAAAAGTAAGCACACAGTACAATAACAACAAGAGCAAACTCTAACATCACAACATCAACAGCCATTGAATAAATAACTTCGGCGCCTACTTAAACACCACCATGAGAGCTTATTTAATAAAAGTCGCTTGCGATAAGAATAAAGTGACTAACAAACAGAGAATACCCAACACCATTTGCTGAGCGCCCAGATGCAGACCCATTGCGCCACCATAATTATCATAATTGAAAGTTGAGTTCGTCATTGTTATCCAGTTATAGTAGGCGGAGAGATTTGTGCAGACCTCAGGATAACCGCTGTCCCACGAAACAATGCCGCTCAATTTGCCATTGCAAACCAGTGGGCCGCCAGAGCCGCCTTGAAAGGCATTCGTGCCGTTATTTGACTGATTGCCGGCACAAATCATACCCGCTGATATTTGACCACTGTAACTGTTGTTACATTGCTGCGTGGAGATGATCGGAAGCACGGCACCCAACAGTACTGGCCAATTTACGCCCTAAGTGAACAAGATTTTGTATTATTATTTTTTATTATTTTATATATGTATGTATATATATTTGCATTTTATATGGATATATTTTAACTGCAGAGCCTGAGCTTACCTTCGCTGCTATGCTCCAACCAGTGACGCTGCAATTAACGCCCGCATCCACGGCCATCTGATTGATTGCTATGGGTGCTACTGTGGGATAATTTGCCGGTATCTTACCATCTATGAAAAGTAAAGCCAAATCGTTTTGTAGCGGTGTCAAACTAAATTCTGGATACGCCACCAGTTGCTGCACATTGTACTGTAGCGTAAACGGCGTAACCTCCTCCAAATAAATCGAACCCATGACTACTGTGAATTCACTTGGTAAACGATAGATCGGTTGTGTTGTATTTGGACTGTGAGAGAAATGGAGAAATAAATATACAAATGTATGTGTGTCATTTATCTATGTATGTATATATGTATATGTGTTATACATATAATATATACTTAAATTAAAAATTAATTAAAATTATTTTACTTACTAGATCAGACAATGCGCAGCGGTAATAATCAGTCGCGATGCTACGACTGATCCGCCACATATATGACCTTGACCTAACTGTAACTCGAATAACAGTAGACGCACTGAAACCTGCCAGGGTGCGCTTGTAATGGCAACAGGTGAGCCACCAAATATTTTCGAATCATCTTCAGTTAGCACAGGGTGCGTATTTTTACTGTGAACACTCACACTGCCGGCATAAGCTGTAAGCATAAACAGGGGGCAATTTAATATTTTCGTGAATCGCTTTACAAATTTTTATTTATTTTATTTATACTCCATTTTGCACATCTAAATGCAAAAATACATACATACATATGTACATATTCAATTCTTTTTGCCATTAGGTCATCACAACAACACAACACAGACATGAATTTGCTCATCACTCACACGAATGCGCCAATAGCAACGTCAGAAAAAGACACCAAATTGTTTGCAACCAGAAATTTTGACACATTTTCATTGTTGCAATTAAGAACAGTTCTAAAGAAATATAAAACGAAAAACAATTTAATTTCTAAGCGCTAAAGAGTCACACGCACCGGCCGAACGACTGCTGTCGTATAAATGATAACTTCCTTACAGCTTTGTAGCGCCAATACCGAACGTTTACCGACATATATACTTGCGTATACATAGGATTATATACAATATTTAGCTACAAACGGGTGCCTATCGAATTGAGTAAATACTAAGAAATATACATACATATATTACTATTGTTATATGAATGCTAGATAAATGTTTGCCACCGGCGGACCAACGAAAAGTCAAAAGGCTTAAATTTAATTTTATCTACATCGGTGCCGCTTATGGATTATTGATGACTGTAGACGTCAACATTTACATTAAAACTTATTACAAATAATGATGGTAGAAATTTTTTATTGTTGCTTAATAAATCACAATATGCAGTAGAAAATTTGCAATGGCGGTGTGTATAAAAATAGCTATAATTTTACAATTTACAGAATTTATACATAATTTTATAGTTATTGCAGTAGTATTGCAGCATAATTGAATGTGTGTATGTATGAATGTGTAGCAATTATAGTCATCTGGCTGTATGTATCACCCACGCAACTCTTTATCTAAGGCTTCTAATTGACTCAGCATCGAGTCTACATATGAACTCAAATCATTTTTCGATTGCTCCACCGGCTTCACCAACTGCGGTTTCACCAATTTTTGGGCACTAGTTATAATTTTATTTTGCACATTATTAACTTTTTGCGAACTTATAGTTTTTGTAGTAGTACTGTTTACAGTTTTACGTTGCACATTATTATTGCTGCGCGGATTTATGGTTTTTGCAGTAGTAGTATGTTTCGCCAACACCACACTCTTATTCAGCACAGGAGACACACATTCACCGGTGATGTCCATGAGTTCCAGCTCAGTTGAATTCAAATCACCCACTTCACACTCACGACGTCTTTGACGAGTGTTCGGCCGCTTTTCAATGCTCGGTGACGCTTTTTTGACTTTACTGTAAATGAGAAACAGTTTCCAAGTAAATTTTTTGTTGAATTAAAAATATTGCATGCGTTTATAAGACCTTGCTACCTCCTTTTCAGGCGCACTGCTGTCTTTAATAATCGGATTTGTCGGAGCTTTTGTAGGCATTTCCTCTGCTTTTAATTTAATTGGTGTGTTCACACTCTTCCCTGCTACCACTTCCTTAACAATTACATTGTCTACACCTTCGACATTTCTGCGGACTTTTTTCACCTCTCTTATGTCTTCTTGCTCATGCTCACTAAGCGATTGACTTTGACTTTCGTATTGCAAATCCTTTGAGGCTGATTGCAGTGAGCGCATCATTTGCGTTTTATAACTATGCAAAGCTTTGCGTTTCCTTAACATACGAAATAGTATTATTAATTACACACATATATTTTAAATATTCTTTAGTTATATATACCTGCTTCTAGGACTTTCTTGTACACTTTTGCTTGCACTTGAGGCACTTGTTCTCGCTTCTTCCTTTTTTATTATATTTGTCGGACTGCTTTTGTTGTGGTACAATGATTCCAATTCGCATTCCGCATCTCCATGCTCTGACCGCCAACGTGCTACAACTCTTTGCAAAGACTTTACACTCACGTCGGCGGCTGCATATTGTTCACGAAACATCGCCATATCAAAGTCATTCGTTGCAAGCGTTGCTGTAAATTAAAATTTCGTAGGATATTATATTATTAAACTGTTAGTTTAAACATGTTGACTAAACGTACATACATCTTCGCAAACTACCATATTCTCTCCTGTACTGTTTTATTTCAGCTTCTTTGTGCTGCAATATCTCCAGGAGCTCTTCGATTTTCGCCGGTAGCACATCCACTAAACTAGCAACTTGACCGATGGGTAGTTGGATGGTAAGTGGGTTGTTGTGTTGTTTTAAGCGCCACTCAAAATGGAATGGACATTCCTTAACACGATACTTAAGTTTTAAAACACGCTCACTTGCATTGCTTGTCTCCGGCTGGTTGTCATTTCCAATCCAAGTGCCTGATTCCGGCAGCGCATTTTGTAAAGTATCAAATGCAATTCCCACATCATATTTTATACGTTTATTTAGTAGCTATAGGAATAATAAAACGAATAATTAATTTAATAATACAAATAAACTATTAAATTGAATACAACCTGTAAAGTCTGTAGCACTTCTTCTTTCGTCTTTGTTGCTTTCCAGGTTACATTGAAATCATATAACAAGTATTCTATAGTTTCACCTTTCACATTGCAATCGTAGTAATATGTTTTATCTGCAATATTTAATTCTTTTGACATTTTAATAATAGGTAAATGGTAACAAATATATTTCTAACAAATTTAACAAATAGTTATGCCATGCATAATATATTATTTAGACAAGTGGGTTAATGAACTTATCATTACACGCAATTGTGAATGGGCAAGGAAATGAAATGTCAAATAGGCACAGGGTGTTATGAGAATTTATTTTTATTACAACAACCGACGGAAACGGAATAAGTTGAAAAGTGCGATAAATTTTATTAATCATAATTTACAGCAAATAATTATACTGTTTCTAATAAAACAAGGTGTTTTTATGAATTTTAACCACTTTTATATAATTAATTGAAAAAATGAATGTGTAGTGTTTAAAGTGTGAAATTTCTGAAAATTGAAAGTGAAAAATGTTCATGCAGCACCGCGCACATTCGCCAAATGACTGAAAACGGAACTTATATTTTTAGGAATCCGGAAATAAAAATATGTAAGTAAACACTTGTATTAACTTTACATCTACTGTTTTAATATATTTTTTATACGAAACCTTTTTGAATTTTTGCCAAAATGGTATTTAAAAAATTTTGAGGTTAGCATCATTTGCGATAGCCACTTTTGTATGAAGGCCACTTACATTTCAAGTTGAAATGTTTTATTGAAAAAACTTTCAACGCATATTTATAATACTACCGCCTATGTAATGCTGACCAGGTAAAGATTTCCTTTTACTAATGTATTACCCTACCTATCACAGTGCCTGAAATTCGTGTTCTTACCTTTTCTTTGTCAATATCATTATAAAAAATATGTGTATGTGTATATTAGATATCATAGAAATTAAATGTATTTTTTTATTAGGTAATCATATTAGCATACTAACACACATACTTATCCGTCTACCTTTATTGTATGCACTTCTGGAAGTTTACACTATTATGAAATGTAATTTTATTATTTTAATATTTACAGAAAAACGTCTAAATAAGTACATTTTTATGTGTGTAACTTAAAAATAATGTTTATAGAATTATTTAACTACGAACAAAAATATGGAAAACAGATGAAAAAATCTTCAAATTTTACTAATCGCATCGGCAATTGATTTAAGGATTTACTAAAGAGCTGATATTCTTTTAATACTCAAATAGTTGATAAAACTAAATATATTTAAACACTTTTAGTGCACTCATATGTGGCATACACATACATGCATAAGTGATGTGCTGATCGCAAATAACTACAACTATCCTCACACTAAACTAACAGCTTTTAAATTGTCTTCATTAATGTCTTTTTCCGTACCATAATACAAATTTATGATATTTATCTTAAATCATACATGTGCATGTATCTAAATACTTTGCTTTACATTTGTAACGTATAAAATTGAAAGTAATACAAAACTTAAAAGTAAAGTAAAAGTAGTACTAGTAACACTTTTTAATCATAGGGATTTACTTTTGGACTTATTAAGATAAACAGCAAATTTATTTACAATTTGATATACTTTGTTGTGATTTTTTTCAAATCTGTGGTCGTGTCCATAGTTCACTCAAATCCTTTGGACGTATTTTACCGATTTCTGAAAGAAAGAACCAGAAAGTAATAACACATGAAAGCAAATAAATTACATGCTAAAACCGACCTACCCAATTGCCCAGGCATTATGCCACTGTCACGTTTAGGCGAAGGCCAGACCATGTCAAAACGCGGTTGTACTGCTAACTGATTTGATTGTGTGGGGCGAAAAGTGGAGCTGCTGCGTAAAAATATAATAAGCATTCGAGAAAATCGACATTTTAACCAACAAACTTCATACTAACCTATAAGGGTGCTTCAAACAGCCGTACACCTCGCGATATCTACCATATAAAGTGCCATAAGAGACACCCAATATACGCGCAGCTTTCTTCATTTCCAATCTTTTGTTCTTTATAGCATCCAATACCTGAAAATAAGTTATTTGAAAAACTGTTATACTCAAAAAACTTATTGACTTGTGCTTAAACTTACGCGTCGTGTGAAGGGCTCCTCCCAGAATTGCGGTCGCCGTCCTTTAGCCAAGTAATCGTCCATTTTGATCACATCTTGCCACTCGGAAATCTCCTCGGTGGTCAAACGCAAATCTGTGCCGTCATACTCTTCCATCTTTATGTCCACATAATCCTGATCGTTGCCATTAGCAGCGCCGGCAGCTCCGACTATTGCGCCGCTTGAAGAACTGGCCGTTGCACCTGTTGCTGTTATGGGAGCCGTCGGCGCATGCACAAAATCATGTGTCATCAATATGCCATGTTCGTTCAATAAATAACCCTCAGGCGCATATTTGCCGTATGGATGTGCGGGATGGTGCAACGACGGAGGTGGCGGCAACGGTAGCGGTGCACTTGGATCACTGGTAATATTTCCGCGCTTATGTGTGCCGCTTGTGGCGGAAGTTGTCGTATTGGCTGCAGCATTGCTAAGCTTGTCCTTAGATTGTCGCACGTTTTCCATTTCTTCCACGGGTTGTGGTACAGTAGCAGCAGCTTTGACCTTTTCTTCCTCCTCTCCGTCAACATTGCCGCCCTTGCATTCCTGTGTTTGATCAGTTATCTCATTTTGTGCGGAATGCTCACGCGACTCACGCTCTTCACGCTTGCGTTCATCATTAATTGAATTGTTGTCGTCGCGTTCCTCGGCACTTGAGCGTTTACGCGTTAGCGAGCGTTCACGTACATGCAACTTGTCACGTTCTTCCGATTGACGTTCCTTACGCTTTCGCACCTCGATTTTTGCCGTGCGTTGTGCTTCTTTGTCGTCTGCCTGATCCAACTTGTGTTCCTTCAATGTTTCGGTGTCTGCGTCACACTCAATGGGGGGTTCATTATCGCCACCGCCACCCACATTTACCTCCAAGTTACTGTTAATCCATTCAGGGTCGGCCTGTGCGTCTTCGTGTTCCAACTCATCCGCTTCGGTATGGAGCTGATGATGGTGCAGTTGGTGTTGTTGTTGTTGTTGCTGTTGACGGTGCAATTGACGCATGCGCTTGTTATGTTGTTGCTGCTGGATGTGTTGGTGATAAGCGGCTGCTGCTGCAACCGAGGTCGACGAGGGCGGCGGTATCGGTGAGATGACAGCAAGCCGACGCTGCTCGTCATTATACTGACGCTGCGCCTCCAAGTATGCTTGGTGATGGTGATGCGCATCCAAATGGCTGCCATACTGTGCTAGTTTCCGGCTGGAAGAGATGAGGAATGTAAATAAGCCAAGGTAGATTAAAAAAAAAATCTGCCAGATTAAACTCACACATTGAAAACGTCATAGGCGTCGTCTAGTGGCGGACGTCCGCGCTTGCGTTTCGGACCCAAATAACTTTCCACCGGCGATGCGGCAGAGGCCGCAGCAGCTGCAGCAGCGGCGGCGGCAGCAACGGCTACCATTGAAGCACTGCTTGTTGGCGGTAGTGGCGTTAGAGTCGGCATGCCTTGTTGCGCATGCGCCTGGTCTTTCGGCGAGGAGAGCTTGCGTTCGCGCGGCAGTCGCTGCGGTGGCATGAAACTGGGTGAACCAACGCGTTGTTGCTCCGGTCGTGTACTGTACATATCCTGTCCGTGTGTCGGTGTGGGTGAGTGAAACTCAGTGGCGGCGGTGGGCAGCGGCGGTCCGTCCTCATCATCGCGAAATGACACTTCCGCCAAACCTTTGATTTTGAGATCATCTGCAGTCTTTAAGAGTGAGGCCAAATTTGCCTGCAAAAAAGTAGATTTTTGTTTTTTTTTTAATTATTCAATTAACAAGTAAGGAAGGGCTAAGGTCGGGTGTCACCGAACATTTTATACTCTCGCATGATAAAGTGATAATCGAGATTTCAGGCGTGGTTGTGAACCGATTTCGCCCATATTTAGTACATGTCATCAGTGTGTTAAGAAAATATTATATACCGAATTTCATTAAAATCGGTTGAGTACTTCCTGAGATATGGTTTTTGGTCCATAAGTGGGCGACGCCACGCCCATTTCAAATTTAAAAAAAAAAGCCTGTATGCAGCTTCCTTCTGACATTTCTTCCGTAAAATTTAGTGTTTCTGACGTTTTTTGTTAGTCGGTTAACGCACTTTTAGTGATTTTCAACATAACCTTTGTATGGGAGGTGGGCGTGGTTATTATCCGATTTCTTCYATTTTTGAACTGTATATGGAAATGCCTAAAAGAAACGACTCTAYACAGTTTGGTTGACATAGCTATAGTAGTTTTCGAGATACGTACAAAAAAGTTAGTCGGGGGCGAGGCCACGCCTACTTTTCCAAAGAAATTACGTCCAAAAATGCCCCTTCCTAACGCGATCCTTTGTGCCAAGTTTCATTTTAATATCTTTATTTATGGCTTAGTTATGACACTTTATAGGTTTTCGGTTTCCGCAATTTTGTGGGCGTTGCAGCCAATTTTGCCCATCTTCGAACTTAACCTTCTTATGGAGCCAAGAAATACGTGTAACAAGTTTCATCATGATATCTCAATTTTTACTCAAGTTACAGCTTGCACGGACGGACGGATGGACGGACAGACAGACATCCGGATTTCAACTCTACTCGTCACCCTGATCACTTTGGTATATATAACCCTATATCTGACTCTTTTAGTTTTAGGACTTACAAACAACCGTTATGTGAACAAAACTATAATACTCTCTTTAGCAACTTTGTTGTGAGAGTATAAAAACACTTGCACTTACGTGTTCCACATTGATTTCGCCTTTATACATAAATTCAATTAGACACTTGACGTCGGCGAATGTGACGTCCTTCATTATGATAATCGGATCGCGTTCACTGGCATAATTGGTGAGCACTGTGTCGAAGAAGCTGCTGCAAGCGCAGAGGACCACGCGGTGTGCGCGTATCAGTTGGCCCTCACAGGCGAGCGTCACATCGCAGAAGCAGCCGCGATCCAGCAGTTGTGAGAACATTGTCTGTAGATTACTATGATGGTATTTCCATCGCAGGCAATATTGCTGTGGCAACATGGTGGCTGTAAGAGGAAAGGAAAGCGTTAAATTATTTTTAAAGGCCTTTGCCGAAAATTTATGTTATTTTAAGTACTAACGGTACTATGTTCGAAATTCTTAAGAATGCCTAAAAGTATGCATTCTAAATATCAAAGATCTATCTATATAAATCAAAACAAAGTCGGGTTAGTTATACCAATTTTAACTCGAGAACGACCGAGCCAACTTTGATGATTCCTGACATTTTGAATACGTCTCCGTCCTAAATAGCAGCATAATTATTAACATGTTGAAAGAACTGACAAAATATATCTAAAAGGTATGCTTCACGGAAAAAATATCTAGTCTAAAATCGCCAGGAGCCAGAAAAATCGGAAACCTTTTATATCTGTCTTCGGAAACACATATTTTTGAAGTTGAACCAAACCAAATTCTAACAATAGGCTTTGACGTCAGTAATGGAAAACATGGCCCCTTTTTATTTGATAGTTTTCAGAACCTATACGAAAACTTTAAGAATATACATATTAGGAACTTTTTCTTCGAAAATCTCTCAAAACAATGATTTTGAGCGAAAATGCACAACATAACTATCATCTTTGATTGAAGAAAAATTGCCAGCCGTGATAATGCCGCAGCAACCCTCTTATATAGCATCTCCGAGTCTTTCACAAACAAAAATTCGGACCTTAGAAAGTTTTTCAAGTAAAAGATAAATAGATCTTAACAAATTATTATATTTTATACCATATATTTCTATCGAGGCTTTCTTACTTAACCTTCGTAGTGGGCTTCAGAAAATTTCTTTCTTTCACCGGTGGACCGGAAGACAAGTTCCTTGCTTTCCGATTAGACCGAGGTACTGTTGTAAGTGTAGGGCTTTCATAGATCCTCAGCGGATCTAGGGAGGACCTTAATCTTGTTAATTTTTGTACACATATTTCTACACTTAGTTTACAAGACATCTTTAGAGATATTATCAGAAATTTGTATGGCTCATTTTCAGAGCTTCTTTTACTCTTTGCGATATGGTATCGGAAGCTTACAATTTTTTACCGAGGAACGTACTTGTTCAGACATATTTTTTCCGTTATTCGGAAACTGACTTGAAATCCAAGTTCTAAGTAACAGTAGTGGCCTTCTGCTAACCCTCCTCCACGGCATCAGCTAAATATGAGACATAAACACTAATAAAAAGTAAAAAAAAAAATATGAAAATGAAAGTGTAATAAAGATCGCTGTGAGCCGTTAGAAGACATTTGAATGGAAGAGGGTTTGAAAAGCCGAAGATATTGCAGTTAGTTGTTCATCCCTCTGTTAATTAAAACTTGTCGGTAGAAGCTGACAATAATGCTTTGAGTACGTGTGTGCCTGAATTATTTTAAAAGTGGGTCAAGAAGTAAAAAACAATACATCCTGGGAAGAACATGTGTACATACTCACATACTTTTATGTAACGGGTGATCCAAGTAGCCTTTTTTTTTTGACAGATCACGCGTGAGTCGTGTCAAGCTTCATGCAGAAAAGAAAATATAGCAGCCGTAGCCGAGAGTGTCGACCGTAGAGAGTCGATTCGCCGCCGTTCGAGCAACTCGGACTGACGTATGGAACGACTAAGCGCGTTTTACGTCGAGATCTTAAATCAGGAATGTTCTTTCGTATGATAATAAACATTCCCCATTAAATTTGAAGTTTCTGTGGCTTTCCTTTAAAAAAGTAGGAAACCTCGAAGTGAATCACTCTTTATATATGTATTTACAAATATATTTCTCTGTGAAAAGCAATGATTACCCTTCTTCCTGACAACAACGGAACACGCAACTAAATTAAATTAAATTCGAAAAAGTAATGGAAAGGGTTCGATTTGGTCAAGCTAAGATTATGAAAAATTCAATGCAACCGAAAAGGAAACTCGACACGCATTATTTATTTTTTTTTTTTTTTGCAATCCTTTTCAAATTTTTTAGTACCGAAAAGAATGCGCAAACTGTCCACCATGTGTCCAAATGCCCAGCGTAGCTCACCAACCACCTCAAGCTTACATACAAACACACATCTCGTAAAATTTTAGCGGAGAAGTATTCGTTGCACCCCCACATTCTTGATATGCAAGAAATTTAGATGAGCTCGAAAAAATTTGAGTTTGCAAAAAATGGAGAAAATAAAAATGAAAAATTTAACATAACCAAATTTTCGTCTGCAAAGAAAAAAGCTGGAAAACGAGGATAGTTTATGGGCAGCCAAAAAAAAAACACAAAGAAAAAAGAAAATATGTGAAAATACCGTAAAATTCGAAAGACAAAATGTAATAAAATGAAATTATAAAAATAAAATGAAGAGGGCAAGGCAAGGCAAGTAAATCGAGGCACTTACAACACCCCAAAAAGGCGTTCGGTTCAAAGAAACTACAGAGTTTTGCGCAGCCATTGTAGAAAGAGTTAATACACACTCACACACACACACACAAAATAACTTTTATATATTACAGTTATGTTTGTACATGCTCAGCGAAGGGTTGACCATAATGTATGTGCATAAAAAGTGAGGTTATAAAATATCGAACGACATCAGCAGGGAACTTACGTTAATAGGGATTGACGCATTTGCGACGAACAACGTCCGCGTCCCAAGCAAGGTTTACGCTGGTAAAAAGAGCACTTTTTATGTGTACATTAAACATACATACATACATACATATGTGCTTATCGTAATGTACATACCTGTTTTATTGCATTATAAATTATGTCATTTTACAAATAAATTCGATTTTATTTCAATGCACTCTTTTATTTGTAATAAGATTCGTCGGCAGATAAGGGTTTACGGGTTTAAAAAAAATCGATTTTTTATTGTCTTATTAAATTCTACCATACCTCTAGAATATTGTCCTAAATTTTCAAGTTGATCCGAGTAATAGTTTCGGAGATACAACCTTGAGAACTTGTGCACTCGAGGCTAGCTAGGCTAAAGTGCGTCGTCTTTAAACACGTTTTTCTCGAAACTGTGTTTTTGAAGTCGTTTGGCAAGATTTCTCGAGAACTAATGAACCGATCTGCATCGGCATAGCAATGGCAGTGTTTAAAATATTTTTTTTTCAAAAATTTCAGAATTTCTTTATTAATATTTCATATTTTATATGAGAATTTTTTTTTTGTAATAAAGGCTGTTTTTTACCCGAGGAAACTCATGCAACCCCTTAAAAAGCTAGCATACCAAAGATGTTTAAAGAAAAATCTTAAAAGTGAGGTTAGAAATTGTCTTGTGTCGGATATTATATATTTTATAACTGAAAAATATTATTCTGATTGTTTTTTATACCAGCAGAAAGCATTCCTGCAGTAACTTCGAGGCATGGTGCCGAAATGGCAGTCCTTGGCCCGAAAAATCCGGCTCCGTTCCGGTTACATAGATCCGTCGTGAGTGTTTAACCCGAAAAGTGTTATTTTGAGGCGGTTAAGCTTATAAATGGTGATTTTCTGTAGAAGTTTTATATCAAATAAATAAACAATATGATTAATGAAATGATACAATTGTTATTATTAGTTCGAATTCCACCGAACATCACCGGACCCCAGTTCTATTTTTGAACCAATCACCATCCGGCTTCATGTCGCCAATAACGAGCGAAATTCTGTTTCCAACTAGTTGGAGAAAGCTGGTTTATAACCATACTTGATATAACCAGCTAAAAGTAGTGTTACGGAGTCAGAACACATGATTTAGGGAGCCAATTAACATATCTACCTCTAAACAACAACCTAAATAAGCTATATATATGAACAACATATGTACTATACTTACATTAATATTCATTCTATAGAAAAATCCCTGGTAACCTTAACTAAACGTAGCACAAAACCCCTTTGGACTGAATATAAAAAAGTTCGATATAAGGAATACACAAAAGAAACAAAAAAAAATCTCGCAATCAAATCGATCCATTCTGAAAGCGTATGGTTACTGGGTTTATCACTTACAGCAACGCCAAGCTGAAACTTCCCTGTCGAATAGGAATAGGAAACGGTAAGCCGACGCAAACGGTGTCCAAGCCAGGACTAACGACCAGGAAGATTTTTCTCTGTGTTTGGTGTTCCTGTTTCGAAACTCTCAATCCGAACTTGCACTTTGAGCATTTGGGCAGTCTGAAGGAAACAATCGATTTTTTATATGTCTTTGCTGAGATTAGCAAGGAATCATCTGCCAAGAGCTGCTCTCCTAGGTGCCTGTACTATGAACATTTGGACCGTCTGAAGGAAGCAATCGCCAGGCCACACAACACGGTAGAGAGTCGCCAAAAGCTCCGAGAGTTTAGTTGGAAGCACCAAGGATCATCTTGTCTATGGCGAATGACTTTGCTGCTGAAAAATTTGCACCAAAAGAAGCCTGTGAAAATCCAATTTTTTGCGGAAGAGGAGGGTTCATATGAGAGTTACAGTTTGGAATTGCATTCAAATTGACATAAAGCAGTATATTTTTGACTTTAATGGGATTAATTGAAGTATTTTAAGTCACATTTTCAATTTAATGTAACAATGATGGATTTCTTCTTAGGTCGATCTGCCATCTCGAAGATCGCACGTGTACTATTATATAGTATGTAGTACTTTGTGACACCATAGAAAAGAAGAACTCCTGTGTTCGAACTATAAATTAACAAAACGCATTGTAGCCAATATAAATTTGCCGAAGCGTTTAATTTCCATTCCCGCCAGCTCGGTGGTATGTCTGAAGGTATGCGCTCCCAAGCGCTTAAGTCTTGACCTCACAACCATGGGACAATCAAGAAGGAAGTTTGAGTTGTTTCCAGCTCACCTTCTTCCATAAAGCTTCTGCAAATGGCATCTGATAGACTTACTGCGCGGATACCACTAGCACAATGGTTCGTTAAAAGCCCCAAACCGATGACCAAGCTTACGCGATCAGCTATTTAGTAGTAGAAAGCAAGAGGATACGAGAACATCAATCCACTCCCATTCTAACGATGGCGGTTCTAGAGTACATTTTCATGCTATCGCATCAGCTT